CAAAGTGGAGAGAAGGAAGATGGAGGACACGCTCCTATGGGACTTCACAAAGATGATTCATGAGAATGTCAAGGAGAGGAAGGAACTCAGATAGATGCCAGTCCTCGCCTCCATCACTGAGGAGGAACACTTTCCAAGATTGCATGAGGGATCCTCATCAGAATCTTAGGCATTGATTCACAAAAAGGCAAGGAAAGGACTCAATCTTCTCAGAGATGCAGTTCCTTGCTTCCACCTTAGTGATGGAACAAGTCTATCTGCATTTGTACACTACTCAAAGGATCAAAGGATCATACGTAGTGATTAACCCTAACCCGACATAACACTACAAATTACTACTTGTAGTGAAATGTAGTAATCAGCGCTGTCGCTTGTAAGAGGACATGACCGCATCGTTCTCTGAAGCCATAAGATACAATAGATAAGACAATGTACCATACGGTGCTGTGGCACTATGAATGCATGGCTTTATTGTTCTCTGTATGAGTAACAATGGAAGTAACCTAGCCAGAAGTAGTAATCTGTAGCACTAGGTTCTTCAGGCTCAGACTGTTACTTAGTATTTTGTAGTACTTTGTAGTGTAAGCCAAACAATATGCTTGGCGGTTAGGGTTAATAATTTAACCAAATGGTATTCACATCGCAAAAAATGAGCGTCATTTAATTCGGCTTTTCCTGGCATCAAAACAAGAAACTTCCGTGACAGAGTACTGAAGTCTCATGATACTGAAAAAAACATTGGTCAGCACCTTGCCTGGGCCCTTTACCACCCTGAAAATGATGTATAAATGTGGCGGTTTATCCAATTAATGCGAGGGCGCTGTTACTGAGTTAGAATGATATTGCGGTAATATGAGGGCGCTGTTTATGATTTAGAATACCTGAGCAATACACATCGCCCAATGCTTTTTGACCATTGCAGCTAATTGGGCTCTGAAACACGACTAACCAATTGCATTGTCTCACATTCTATGGTGCTCAACCAAGCATGAACATGAGCTTCAGTGTACGATATGTAAAGTCAATGAGGTACACACCTGGCTGAAATTTTTCTAAGACAAATGTCTGATCCTTTCAAATTTTCGAGTAATGTATATTGGTATACAGTACAATGCTGCTATAATGAACAGGGCAGGGTCCATACACAATGCCTGGTGTAGCATGCCGCCCCAACTATTGCAATTTCATTGGTACTGTTCCAATTGTCATATTTTCATGGGCCTAAAAATAAGAATGTTCCGATTTCCATAAAAAGTCCTGGCAAAAGAGGGCGCTATTTGCAGAAAAAAGAGGGTGCTATTTCCTATGTTGAAAGTCAGTTTTACACATACATACGTAGTTGTTCTTATTCGTGTAAAACAGATCATCTTGTTCAGCTGCTTGTTTTGCTATGGGCTCACAACATGGCCGTTCCAATGTCAGAGTTTATTGAAATCTTAATATTTGAGTCACTATCATCAGTCCCAAATTTTTTCCTTTAATTTAAAGCAAACTTGTGATATTCAGTAAAAGTGCGCAGAAAATTTGGGAGCCAAGAGGCACGTTCCGTATACCGAATTGTTCAGTATAGTGGCCATGTACTGTACTTACATCCAACTTATTCATGATTTAAGAGGTACTCTGTAAATTGAATAGACAGTTGTTCAGGTTGCTTTCAAAGAAAGACTGTTGTTTGCCTTTAATTTGTTTCTTTTCATTGTAACGCATTGACTCATATTGATGCACATTTAAAAACATTCATGTTTACATTTAAAAGTTATCAAGCTGCAAATAATTACCATTTGGAGAGACTCTAGACACTTTGATACTACTTCTTTTGAGGACTAAAAGCTTGTAACTATTGCATGCTTTTAAAAATTGAATGAGGTTTCCATTCAGGCAGCCAAAATACCAGCACTGTTCAGTCAACCCAGTGGCTGTTCTGAACCTCATTTTAACAAGTTTGCCCCCGCGAACAGAGATATTGACAAATGGGAAGAACCACCGACATAGGGCTGGATAGCTCACAGTTGGTAGAGTGTTCCAGAGGTCGCAGGTTCAAATCCCACTCCAGTCAATTTCTTTGTTCATCTTAATAAGTTTTTCCTTGGACAAATTCTATATGCATTTTGTGTTTTCCAAGTTGTGCATCCACATTGCCAAAGCATTAGAAAAAGTCTTTCATTTAAAATTATCACAAATCTGCAAGTTGCAAATTGTTGTTGGCTCAGTGCTGAAAGGCCATTTCTGCAAAAATGTAATTTTTGAAACTCTCAAAGGGCCTTAATTAATCCAAAAAATATCCGATTTTAACAGGGTTTTTTCTATATTTTAGTCATAAAACTAGTTTTTTGCAGTAACATGTTTAAATTTTAACCAATTCTTTTTCCCAAATTAATGTCTAATTTTTCACTAAACACTTTTTAGTGCATTCCAAGGACCTTTTAGCATTGCCATGAAGTTTGTTTCATTTGAAAATATTACCTTGCAAAAATGCTTTGTGTGTATGTCAATCACCATTTATTGCTATAACCAGTTAAGTTCTATTTGCAAGTGAAATAAACGCTCATTTATTTAAAACTAGCCCAACTTGTTTGTACATGTATATCTATTTGTAAAACTGAAGTACTTTTTGCCTTAACCCTCCTCCTAATCTGGACCATGTTACATTGCCAGAGTTTAAGATACACCTGTTTCCATCTTGAGATTTTACATTACAGCCTCATCCTACATGAAAGCCCTGCCAGTCTTAACATCTTTCAAGCTCCTTATATAGAGTTCCCTCTTGGAGCCTTGCAGTCTGAAGCTTACAAGGGCTAAAATAAACCCAATAGCAATATGGAACATTAAAAAGCTATGTCCTTCAACCCCATTGGATCCTCAAAGTTCTAATACTGATAGTCCCAAGCCCTCAGCCATCCACTCTACCCTTCCTATCAGCTCTCAGACTTCTAGCCCCAAGGACTTCTGCCCTTGCCCATC